GAAGTGATGTAAATTGTCCCTCAGGGCATGTTACATGGCGTAAACTGTATCCTTGACTCAGAGATCACGGTTGACATTACAAGCTACAATCCAAGCTAAAAACATCCAGCTGCATACAGAAACGGTCCAATCGTTTCAATGAGAACTTGAGGATACAAACCTAAAAGTTTAATACTCTGATTAAATCAGTGTACAGTACTTGTATTTCCATCATTACCATATTGCAATATCAAACATGGTCTTACCATGCTACTGTAAAAATATATAACAATCATGTGGAATGGTCTGAACAATATGACGGTTAGAGACCCACAGGAAGTAAAAGTACAGCAGTGGACAATGATACAAAGAATAAACAATTTGTACCAATTCTAATTACGAAGGACATAAAGCGGACAATGACTGATCCCAAGCTAATAGTATTTTGGGTTTTATCTTGCCACAGTTGCTTTTTGCTTGTTCACTGGGGGTTTTCAAGGCACTATCATCCGTTGGTTTGGAACAGTTTGTACTGTAAAACACTACACATCAAAATTAGAATTGAATGGAACTGGTCAATAGGGGACAGCTTTCTCTCTATGCCTTGAAAGTTCATTCTCACTCCCTATAGGCTAGAGAGGTTGATGGTTCAATACAAAAGATTTAAAAAGGCAAGATCAGGAACTACGTCTCATTTCTGGAGAGAATCACACTCTTAGGGTGAAGAACATTCCCTCCAAATGTCACTAACCTCACAATAGCTGGTATTTCCCCCTTTTTTCCGGCCCTAATTGACTCCTTGGATTAGAGAAAGAGAGTCGGGATGCTAATCCCTGTAATCCAGTATAATCCAGGCTCCAATAACAATGGAAGATGCTGAATTAAGCAGACGGCACTTTGGGAAAACAAGAAATGAGGCTAACCTATGGTGCAGGATTAGGGTGCCATGCAGAGGCACATGAGGAGGGGGCTCATTACCCTGCTGGGCACAGTGGTCCGAGAAAGAGACACGAGAGCAAGACCAATGCTGCCTGGATGCTACAAATCAAAGATGATTGGGAATTTATACTTAGCCTTGTACATCCAACCTAAAACCTCTGAAATGTTCACTTTGGTTTGTCAGTTTTCAGATAGACAATGTCTTTTTATACTTTGAAAAAAAAATGTGTTTATAATTTGTATATTTATACATTTTACTCTACCTGGAATCCATACACACAGTATGCAACACAAAATCACATGACTAGTCCTAGACAGCAATGAGGTTAACGTGAGATCAAATGGATACTTTGTCTTACGTCTTGTGCTCCTCAGTAAAAGTCTCTCACGCGAGTTTCAGAAGAGATCTCAATCTCACAAACTGCTCAGATTTGCCAAGATACTAAAGTCTACAATCAAAAGTCAGAGATTTTGATATGAACTCAAACATTTCTCATCAAATTCTTCCAAGATCACATCTGAGTTATCCTATTCATATGCATTTACATTATATAACATTTTCATAGTTTTATAGTTTATAAAAAGTCACAATTACAAGAAAAAAAGTTTCAGTTACGAGACATAGAATGTTGCAATTGTGAGATAAAAAATCAAACTATTAAGACATGTCAAATTATGAGATACAAAGCCATAGTTTGATGAATAAAAACGTGATTCATTCATTCATTCACTTTTATTTTTCTGCACTGATTATCACACAATGCAAAGTTTAATCATTCACTTATCCATCATTTTTTACTATGAATATCACATAATGCAAAGTACTTCATTATGTGATATTTATATTCAAAAAAATTTAATTACATTTATTATATTTAATATCCCTGTAAGCATGTTTGTGGGTGTGTACTGCACACGGCACCTGTTTCCAGCTCCCCTCTGTCTGTGTGTGTTTGCATATTTACATCATGATTTATAGTTATCATCAATGCTTTCAAACACAGGGGATCTTGTCACGCACAACTCTCAATCTCCTGCCATTTCAAGCCTATAAATGTATAGTCAACAAATGACTGTACTACACTTTGGCTGCCATCATCTGTTTGATATACAAATATGACGCCAGTTCCGACAGATGAAAACCCCTTAGGACAGATAGATTTCTTATGCTGAGACCTCAGGAGCCTCAGGCAAATATATTGAGTTCTGCCCATGCCGGGCCAATGAGCTATCAACAACCACGCTGCAAGCCAAATACTAAACATCTTGTGCTCTTGACAAGCTTGAGTTACGAGATCAAAGTGGGCCGAAACATTCAGGGTTCTGGCTCATGTGAAGAGAGAAACAAAGACTTACAGACAAAAACAACCACACATGTAAGATGTACTGTACCACATATTCAGACCACTGATAGAGAGAATTTTTAAGATGAATTAATGTTATTAGTCAACAACTGCTGGAAATACTCATGCCAGATAGTATATAAATTAATCTAAAGGGGGAGAAAGCATATTCATAAAGCAGCTTAGATGTTTTCCATGACTGCTAGTGTCCCCTAAACAGAACTATCTCTTTCTTTTTAATCATCTTACATAAACCAAAATCTCAAAGTGGGTCTTTGTGATGTGTAATATCAATGATATCATTCCATGTATGTGTCATGTCTGCTTTCCCCCTATTTTCTCTGACACACAGAGCAAGACAAAGCCCTTGTTTTGCACTCTAAGAATGCCTGATACAGCACGCCTGACCTTGAACATTTCGGAAAACACAGATTTCCTGCTTAAGGTCAAAAATGAGGTTCAATTTTCCACATCCTTCTCTAAAAACATGATTTTTTTTTGCTCTTTTGCCATCCAGTATCCCTCTCATTCTCACCAAGGCCAACTTTAACTTATTAAAACTGATAGGGATAAGCCTTCTCCACAGCTTAGCTGTTTAGCAGTGTTTAACGGAAAACCCGCCATCTAAATAAAACAAACAAACTTTTATTCCAGTTCCAATAAGAGCAACGAGGTAAATTATTCATAAACACTTAGGGAAGGTGGTAACATAACTTTGATATGAAGGAGTTTTGAATTATTAAATATTCAACTTAGAGGTACAAATGCATGAGGTTTGCAGTAAAAGGGGTTACAAAACCAGACAAAAATATTGGAATATTCTAGGTTGGGAAAATGTGTAATATTGTTGAAGAGAACTACTTTCCAAGCTGGAATGGATTTAGACAAAGAATGTTCACATTTTACGTCTACTTATTGGAATAAAGAACTTGCTACTAAACCTACAATACATTACTTAGAAAACTGAATGTTCATTTTAAGGGGAATAAATAAGAGTACTTTTCAAAAGTTCAGAGTCAGAATTGTTTTAATGCTTTTAGAAAGAAGTCTCTCCAAAGCTGCTCCAAAGATTTGATTTAAAAAAACAAACCGTAAAAACATAATTTTTAACAGTTCTTTAAAATAACCGTTTTATATTGTTGATTATTTTAAAATTTAATTATAAAAAAATGTCCCCAAAATGTATAGTATAGGGTATACTATACACCCCACCCCACCCACACACACACACACACACCTACCTAGTATGTGATGCCTCAATAAACTTAATTCTGGGAATTCACTGTCACTGCTACCTCAAATGACATCCAAGGGTAGCCAAGGCCTTTTAGCTTGAAGTTCTGCGTCAGTATTTAACATAACTTAGCAAGAGCAAAGATGTAAGCGCAAGAGAAAGAATGTTCTAGCTTGTGTGTGTATCAAAAGGCCGAATCTTTCACGTGTTTACCAGGTACACGTACGTAATCCGTTTAGGAATGGCAGGAACGAACAAACACAAAGTGGACACACACTTGATGGTCAAAGACATTGAATTGTGTCAGTGTAAACAGTAGTTTCTCTTGTAAACAGGAATGACTTCATCTGTATTTCGCGAAATGCGCTATGGTGCCTGCGTGTGTCTGTGGGTACTTGCTGAAACGTGTAAACTTGCATTCCTTGTGCCATGCATTATAGTGTTTCAATGATCTGCTCTCTGGCTCCATTTCTCATGTCTCGTCTCCTTGACCTCTGTCTGAGCAGTCTGCTATGTTGACCAATTGATCAAGATTAAATGGACACAGACATTCAATGAGAAACTTGCTTAATTTTTTCTATTAACTCAGTCAAGATGACTACAGACTGAAAGATGAAACATAAAGGATCCCATTGAGATAAGGGAGAATTTTAAGTACAGATTGGATTCAAAAACGGTAATATTGTGAAAAATCATGGCAATTTAACACAATTTTAATTTGGTTCATAAATGCTGATATACCTGTAACTCAAAGGTTTTTGATGACATTGACTAATCTACTGAAAGCATTATGACTTTTGACATTGATAAATAACACCAAAAACTTATTGGTCCTTCCCCACATTCACTTGTTTCTGCTCTCAAACAGACCTTTTTAAACTTAACATTCCATCCATCTTCCCCTGCCTCTTACTGACATTTTAAGTGTTGTTTGCCATGTGCTCCTGAAATGTGGAGTCAAGCATGCAATGGGTAATCAGATGGAAGACTCTTTCGCTCACCTCAGAACACAAACTCACACAAAAAAACTCACTCGCTCACATCCCTAGACATCCAGACATGTGCATGCACAAGAGTGGACGATCATAAGAATGTTCTCAGTGTGTTTAGCTGGTGGAAGTTGGCAGGCGGTAAAGGCTGTTATTATCATGTTCCAGCAGCTTTAGCCACTCAGAAAGAAGAAAATAAGAGGGAGGATGAGAGACAGCGACAGAGAGAGTGTCTCTCCTCAGTAAACTTTAAAGTGGCTGCTGGTACCAGCACACTCTAATTTGCTGTTTACGTTGTCATTCAGCAAACAGAAAAGCAAGTCTAAATGTTGGACACTTCAGTTGCCTCTTTAAAAAGTGCATAAGAGATGATTGACACCAGGTTTAACCAATTCCAGAGCCCAAAGAAAGTATGAATGGTATGTAAAAGTTCTCCTCACACCAATGAAAACCTTGTATTTAGTTATTAGTATTTGATTTGATCAATTGTTCAATGACAGGTTTTAGTTAACTAACCTCATTTTTTGGTCTAGCCCCAGAAGTTCCAGAGGGTCCTGAAGAGGACAGTGATGATGAAGAGCGATAAAGTGGGGTGTTTAGAGACTGGGAGGAGACTGAAAGACTTCCTGCTGAATCCAGCGGTTCTAAATCAACTTCCTGTTTAAGAGAAGAGTAAAATCGTCATATAAAAACAATCACTACTGTATCAAACCTGTGTCAAGTACTTTACATAGATTTTGTACTGAAGACCTGATGCAGTTGCTGACCATTATTTCATACATCATCATCACAAATCTTTCAGATGAAATTAGTGTATTATTTTGCATGAAAGCTTCTGATTGGTGGCCACTCACAGAGATGATCCGCCTCTTTAAATTGGGAGTGCCACTGAGGGAGGAGCTTAGAGCATTTTCAATCTCTTTGTCCAACTGATCCAACTTCATTATTAACAGAACCATGGAGTCCAAACGTGACCTTTCCTTCTCCCTCTCCTCCCGTGAGCTCTGAAAGGAGAAAAACAGTTGAGCAAAATCTAATTTAATGCGAGAAATGTAATCTTAAAACCAACAGTGACATTAATCTGATGGCTTCCAATGACAATTCTTAAAACATATGTCACAGCAGACCAGCCGCCGACTCGGATGAAGACGGGATTTTTCCATACAAGCTGAGGCAACACATCATTATATCTTTTTTAGTTATTTTCTTTACCCTTAAGAGTGGCCAGTGCTATTAGGAACAGTTAACCCCAAAATAATTGTTATAAACTACTCCCTCATCTATCATTTCTAAACCTGTGAGACTTTCTTTTGTCAATAGAAAACAATATACATAATTATTTGAATTATAATAAAAAATAATATACATAATTATTGTAATATATAATTGACTTTCGTTGTGTTTGTTTGGATATTATTGACAAGATTACAAAGTCTGGCTTTAATGCCAATAGATTATTTTTTAAAATATTTTAAATTATTATTTATACTATTACATTTTTTTACCAAAAAGGGCTGAAAATGAGCTGAAGAAAATAAAAGTGCATAAAAATACAGAAAGTGGGTGTATTTAATTAATGATAAATAAATACCATAATAAAAAAACGGAAATGTATTAAAAGTTATTTATTTATAGGCCTATATAAAAAAATACATATTTTTTTAAGACAATATTACAAAGTCTGGTTTTAATGCCAATAAATTATTATTTTAATTATTATAAATTATTAATACTTATATTCAGTGTTGGGTAACTTACTCTAAAAAGGTCAATTACTAGCTACTAATTACATCTTCAAGTGTTATTAGATTGGTCTCTAAAAAGTATTGCATTATTAATTACTTTCTAAATCCCATAGCTGAAGACAATAAAAAATGCAGAAAGATGGGATTTTGTTAACTGTTTTTGGTTAGCAAAATCCCCTTCTCTGCATCTTCACAGTCCACAGTGGTGGAATGATGAAATAACTAGCAGAGAGCTGCAGAGAGGAAAGAGAGAGATAGAGAGAGTGGAAAACAGAAGTTGTAATGCTACTCAAGCAGAGAGGAATGATGCTGGCACTTGCCCCGTGTCTGAACCAGGCCTGTGCAAACAGCCCCACACAAAGCAGAGCAGTGTGTAAAGGGCTTGCGTAGCTTGTTCTGGTATTTACCCTTAATACACGCTTGTCTATCACAGAGCACACAGTTAGAGAAAGAGAGACACTCTGCTAATAATGAGCTAACAAAAATACAATTCATTGTCCAAAACACACATTTTATCTCCAGACACCTTGAAGGCTTTTAAAAGTTTGTTTTTTGTTCCAGTGTTTCAATATGCACAGGTCATGAGGATTAGCTGATTGACTTATTTGATGAGCACGTCTCTGTGGAATATGTTTGTCAAGTCATTATTTACTTGCAGGGTTAAAAATCTGTTCACCAAAAAAAAAACTATTTCTCAATTATCAATTATCTTTCTTCAGTGCAACACAAGGAAGAATGTTGTTCTGTTCTATAATGAAAGTGAAAGGGGAGTGGTACTGTCTAGCCCCATAAAAGGAGTTAATTTTTGCACATTTTATTTTATATTATTTAATATGCTGTACTGTATATACTTCTTAAACCATAGGATAGCTTAAAATGAGGAATGGCCTAACATTTTAACCAATAGCCTAATTATTAAAAATCTCATTTGAGTTTTTCGGGCCAGGTTTGATCAGTCATGTAAAAATGACATTAGTATGAAAAGCTAAACATTCGAATAAAAACATCCTTTTGTGTTCATTTGAAGGTCATTTGGGAAGGGAATAACATGAGGATGAATAAGTAAGTTTACGTTTTAAGGTGAAATACTTTAACTCCAACACCGTCATGCTGTAAAGAGATTTTGGCTGCAATTTACAGACACATAGACATTCATTAAAGTCACAAAGGGCATTTAGTGCTACTGATTAGCTGTGACTGGTGCAGGTGTTGACAAATTTAGCACATCATCACAACGGACGTGTATGAATGTGTGTTGTGTTCCACAAAAAATAATAATTTCATGTATAAATAAAAGACACTGTGCTTTATGTATTATTTTTCGCTAAGTTACTTAAATTCCATAAAATTAGGTCAAACAAACACAGTCAAGCCACTCATGACACATCAGCTGACAACAGGGCCAGAGAACAGGAAAGGTTCCTCATTCAGTTTTGAATGAGTGTGTGTGTGTGTGTGTGTGTGTGTGTGTGTGTGTGTGTGTGTGTGTGTGTGTGTGTGTGTGTGTGTGTGTGTGTGTGTGTGTTGTTGTGCTAATTTAGAGCACTTTGCCACAGAAACTATATTGTTTGTTTAGGACTGTTCTTTGTGAGCAGAGTCAGGCAGAATATAATCTGTCTGTCAAAGTGCAGTCAAAGACACGCTATTTGGCATCTCGTATCTATTCCTGGAAATACACTATGATAAAATGTGAATTATAAATTCTTGGAATCCTTTGCTACGTTTAACGTACACTGTCAATTTTTGGGATTGACAACCGCATTTACTTACAGATCTCGAAATGTCCCGTTCACACAGCAATTTACAGTAAATACTATCTGTATGAACGTTCAACGGAAGTCAAGCCCATATTCTCTTACTAGTAACCATAGCGACAGTGACCAAAGTGATATCAAAGATGGCGACGTCCATAAAACTAAAAGAGACTTATCACTTTTGACACGACACAGTGCAAACAAAGAACTTATACTCTTTGGTCCAAATGAACATCAAGTTCATCCATCAAATCTTCATTAACGAACAGCAGCTTCAATGTAAACATGTACTAGCCGGAAATCTTTGCCGTTGCACTCGCGTCTCGCGCATGACCGCGCATGATGACACGCCATTCCGCGCGCATAGAACACAACTGATGGGAGCTGCTCCGGTGGAGAACCAACAACCTTCTTAAAGTTCAGATGATGCAGAGACAAAACCACACACAAAAACCCTTTGCAGAAGAGCGGTCTCTAGCACTGTATAAAGTGACAGACAACTAGTCCAGTACGGTTGAGTTCGGTAATAAAATGCGTTTGTCACTCACATAAATAATCGTAGGCCTACTGTGTGTAAATGTAATCGTATTAAGGACTACGGTTAACCATAATGCTTCTGTGTGAACGTGGCCTTTATATTATCACTAACTAACTGAACCAAAGACATTTTTTTTTTTATATTTATAACTATATATATATACACTCACCGGCCACTTTATTAGGTACACCTGTCCAACTGCTCGTTAACACTTAATTTCTAAGCAGCCAATCACATGGCGGCAACTCAGTGCATTTAGGCATGTAGACATGGTCAAGACAATCTCCTGCAGTTCAAACCGAGCATCAGTATGGGGAAGAAAGTTGATTTGAGTGACTTTGAACGTGGCATGATTGTTGGTGCCAGAAGGGCTGGTCTGAGTATTTCAGAAACTGCTAATCTACTGGGATTTTCACGCACAACCATCTCTAGGGTTTACAGAGAATGGTCCGAAAAAGAAAAAACATCCAGTGAGCGGCAGTTCTGTGGGCGGAAATGCCTTGTTGATGCCAGAGGTCAAAGGAGAATGGCCAGACTGGTTCGAGCTGATAGAAGGGCAACAGTGACTGAAATAACCACTCGTACAACCGAGGTATGCAGCAAAGCATTTGTGAAGCCACAACACGCACAACCTTGAGGCGGATGGGCTACAACAGCAGAAGACTCCACCGGGTACCACTCATCTCCACTACAAATAGGAAAAAGAGGCTACAATTTGCAAGAGCTCACCAAAATTGAACAGTTGAAGACTGGAAAAATGTTGCCTGGTCTGATGAGTCTCGATTTCTGTTGAGACATTCAGATGTTAGAGTCAGAATTTGGCGTAAACAGAATGAGAACAGGGAACCATCATGCCTTGTTACCACTGTGCAGGCTGGTGGTGGTGGTGTAATGGTGTGGGGGATGTTTTCCTGGCACACTTTAGGCCCCTTAGTGCCAATTGGGCATCGTTTAAATGCCACGGCCTACCTGAGCATTGTTTCTGACCATGTCCATCCCTTTATGGCCACCATGTTGTACCCATCCTCTGATGGCTACTTCCACCATGTCACAAAGCTCTAATCATTTCAAATTGGTTTCTTGAACATGACAATGAGTTCACTGTACTAAAATGGCCTCCACAGTCACCAGATCTCAACCCAATAGAGCATCTTTGGGATGTGGTGGAACGGGAGATTCGCATCATGGATGTGCAGCCGACAAATCTGCGGCAACTGTGTGATGCCATCATGTCAATATGGACCAAACTCCCTGAGGAATGCTTCCAGCACCTTGTTGAATCTATGCCACGAAGAATTGAGGCAGTTCTGAAGGCAAAAGGGGGTCCAACCCGTTACTAGCATGGGGTACCTAATAAAGTGGCCGGTGAGTGTATATATATACATATATATATATATATATATATATATATATATATATTTATATATAAAAGTTTTTATTATTACCAGCATTATTTTAGTGTAATTTATTTACTATTATAATTTTTGTTAATATTTTGAATTAGATTAGACAGCAAAACCTTGACGAGAATTGAAAATGAACTATTAGAAACAGAGCTACAAGGTGTAAACCATAATAAAACTGATTGAAACAAAATAAACTAACTGAAAACTATAGGGGCACAGAACTAAACCATGATACAAAACCACCATCATTAAATGAAAATGGCATTATATGACCCATTTAAAATGTACAGTGTGAATGAGCTTATCACAGTCACAAATGAGATCTCTTTAAAATCCAAATGGTTTCTCTTTCACACAAATGAGATTAAATGGAGAACAAATGGAGACTTTTGCTTAAGTCTCCTGCTTCTCAGATTTTCTCATGAGAAAACCTCCCCAGCTGGTGTACACATCTCCTCTAGAGTTTCCGAACATATCTCAACAATGTCACCAACTGTGCTCATGTTTACCAGGATACCAAAGTCTGCAATCAAAAGTCAGAGATCTCAATCTAAACCCAAA